AATTGTGGCAATCTTTTATGGATAATATCGCTACACTTGATGATGGATGGCGCCAGGTCGCCACAAAGGAGATAAACAATTGTGGGTCCAGCAATGCTTGGAGGTAAAGAACAGAAGAATAAAAAAGGGAACTGAAACGGAAAGAAAACAAAGAGTGTCATAACCAAAAAGCATAAGAAAAGCCACATGTGAGAAAGGACAAAGCAGAGAGAGAGTGAGTGGAGGGGGAGAACATTAAAGTGGGCCGCAGTGTGCGACTGGAGCCAGCCTGCTCATTTTTCATGGGACAGATGAGCCACTGTGTGTTGGTGTTGATGTCTCTTCACCATGTACAGCCCAGATATCTCGCTGCATGGAATGCCGGTGTAGTGTGCCCCTGTTGTGCATAACACGTATACCAACCTGATACATGATGAAGATGAGTGTACCACGATCGACACACAGCATCAACCGCAAGCATGCCAGAGCTGCCTTTTCATTTTTGTGTGTATCACCGTATAGGCGTCCATGTAGAGTGGGTAAACCTTATTTCCCAAATTAAAAGGTGGGGAACGTGCATTTAGATGCGTTATAACCCTCATCTGCATCCTTGGTTTTGTGTTGTGTATCCCTTGTGCTTGCCCGGTTCTCCTTCCCTCTCCCGGGCCGGTGTGGCTAATGATCCGTCAGGCCCATTCAGTCCCTTGTTCAAGCCCACGTCGCCACTGAATGCGCTCCCTCCCCGTCCAACACTGTTTGTGACCTCAATGAGGAGCCTGTTGTCCTCCGGCTCGGTTAAAATGCTCTCCTCTTTTCAAACGCCGGTGGAGAGTTTTACTGAGGAGAAGGACACAGAGAGACTCGGCGGAGAAATAAGAGGCCCCGCTCTTCGATCGGCATTAGTATGCAACGATTAGAAACAAACACACACGATGATACACAACAACACACAGAAGGTGGCAGTGCCCACAATCGGAGGGATGCACACACACACGCACACACAGACAGATACAGAGAGCTCGGTCACACGCAGTCAGCCACACACACAAACACGCAACACATTACACTGTATGGCTTCCTCATTGTTCCCGTTGTGCTCGGATCCCACTTGATTCCATAAGTCTCAAAAACCCTGACAGTCCTACTGTGTGCTGTGGTGTGTTGTGTGTGCGTGTGGTGATACGCGTGTGTGAGTGTGTGGTGTGTCCTCCTGCTCTATTGAACAAGTCTGTGGTGGTCTGGCTTAGAGAAAAGAAGGCAAAATGTCATTGTTCTCACAGACGTTTTCAACTTTTGCCCCTCTCACCTTCCTATCTCGCCTTCGTCATGAGAGTGTGTGTGGGTCTGTGTTGTGTGTGTGTGTAACCTCATCCTAACTGTACCTGCATTCCCTGTCATTCGATAGGGTGCTATCCGGATTACCAGGTGCTCCTTTGAGCCAATAAGAAATATATTGCCCTTGTTTCAAAATTATGAGATAATCATTAGATTTTGTCACACACAGTGTGCGAGGCTCCACATTGGAGGGAACGCAGTCAGAGTTTGTTGAGTGGAATAATCTTTTCGTCTGTGCAAAAGTAATTTGCGGCATGGTACTTTACTCTTTCCTGCAATCTTCCTTGTGAGACAAGCTGCCACCCCCAAAGATGGCGTCCATTTGGCTGCCAGCATTTGTCTTCCCTTCACCCTCGGTGTCAATATCACTTTCTTTTGGACGGTCAGAGGTGCCAACCCTTTGCAGAATACCAATGCATGAGTCCGGGTGGGTTGGGGGGGGGGGGGGGGATGCTGAGATACCAGAATTTGGCGTCTCATGTGTGTGTGCGGGGAGGGGTCGGCGGCGGGGGGCATCGCCAGTTGGCAGGCTGGCACACAATGGCTGGCACGATAAGATCCTCCCTCTTCTGCGGGCAGATTTCCTCGCCCATATCTTTTGTTTGGCTTGTTTGGGTTGCAGCTCATCCTGATAAAGGCCACTTTGTTTAGACAACAAAGCGCGAGGGAGGCAGAGAAGAGAGAGATAAAGAGACAAAGAGATAGAAAAAGAGAGAGAGAGGGGGCATTACAAAAAAATAAAGGCGGCAAAGGGGGGAGAGCATCGACATACATGGGGACTTTAAAAGAAAGATGTTAAAAAAAACGAGGAAATTTGAAAAAAGATACACGTGATAAGACGATATCTCCACATACACACTAAATGGTAGATATACACAGAGGCATGTATGAAAAGATACAATAGAGGAAGGATACTGTTGCAGATAGACGGATAGCAGGAGAAGAGAGAGCAGGTTCTGCTGCTATGGAGCCGCCGAGCAGCGTGAGGTCATCGCCGGAGCTGCCAGTGATAGAAAACAGGAGCAGAGGAGGACACGGGACAAAGTACACACACATTCCATACCGGCACATGTACGGCCATTTACTGTCAAGACTTGCATGACCCTGCGCTTCACAGACATTTTTTTCTGTGTGTGTGCAAGCAAGAACAAACTGGTCTCCTGCAGCAGGAAGGGAAAGAAAAGCAGGAGGACACTGAGCAGAAAGTCTGCCCGGCCACATCAAATATTTACTCAGGAGCAGCTGTATTGTCGAAACATTACGCATTGGAGCTGCTCCGTAATTAGGTCGATATTTTCTCCCTCTCTCAGTTTCCCTACTTCTCCGGGAGTCCACCCCTCTCCTCCACACTCCCCTCCCCTCACCTCCCCAGGCTGCTGAAATGCGTCTTGGCTCGGGACCCATGCCTCTGGCAGCCAGAGTGCTATACATGTGCACAGAACCCCGCTCGGCATAAAATGGCTGCCAGACAGGCTTCTCCTCCTGAAATGTCGACAGCGGTATGCATCTGCAGGGTGTGTGTGTGTTGCGCGTGCGCACAGTTTTTTTGTGGAGGATATCTGTACGTGTCTGCAAGTGTTTGCGGGCAAGGAACGTGCACCGCCGCTGTCAGGAAAAAAAAGAAAGTTTCCCAAACTATGTGGCTAATTTAATCCACGCTGTGTGCGTGTGTGCATGTGTGTTCCGCAATTTAGTGGGAACAGAATCGGTACGATGCCAAAAAATGAGAGGGTGGGTTAGGGAGAGAGTGTGTGCGAGTGTTTTAGTGATTGTAAAACCCAGGCGAGTAACACACTTGGGCGTGGAGGAACCTCACAAGCACTGAAAAAACTTTTCTTGCAGAGCCAGATTTCTGTTGCCATTACCCCTAATTGCCCTAATCGTTACAGTGGTATGATAAGTATCCCACCGGACAAGAAGGTGTAAGAACTCGTGGACAAAATACCCACAAGCCCACCCTTTTTTTCTTGCAGAGTAACAGCAAATAATGTGATTCATACGTGGTCCTGTTTTTTCACTTCCTTCATGAATCGGTTTGTTTATTTAAACAAGTGGCAGGGACGGAGGGTGCCAAAAATGTTGTTTGGAAAAGGGCCGTGTGTGTATGTGCGTGTTTATGTGTGTGTGTGTGTGTGTGTGTGTGAGAGAAGGCGTGTGTGTATGTGGTGTCTGGCCCTGTGATCCAGGCCTGCCAAGCTCCCGGGGCAAAGCCCAGCCTCCTCGACCGCAACTGTTTATTTACAGGTTACACTACTGTTTATTTGAAGACTATCGGATTGGCTAGGGCTCTGCACAGGACACCTTTTAGATACAGATACCAGGCTCCAAATACCCCGCTTCTTTACTTTATTCAAACCACTTTCTGAAGTGCATTTTTTTTATTTAACTGCACTTAAATCCAGCTTTTTAAAACCCAGAATTATCTTTCTTGGACCTGTTTGTGCTTTTCATTGAGGCTTTATTGAAATACCTGTTGAGTGACGGTGTGAAATAAAGTGTTCAGCAGATATAATCAGCATCCTTGCGGCCTGATAAATGTGAGCGCACTGATCTAAACGATTGTAATCAGGCTGAAAGAAGATGAAGGAGCGTGGAGCTGCCCTTCCCGGGTCAAAGGTAAAATGTAATGCAATAGGGGCGGTGTTTCCAGGCCTGGCAGATGCGCCATATGCTCGCGTCCCACCTTGAGTCATCCAGGTGGTCTCTCCTGGTGCGACAGTGGGGCCTCATGCTGGAAGATGCTGCCTGGGATCTCTAATTGCCACCACCATCTGCTCTTTTTGTCATGTCAGCCCTCGGAGTATGAGAGAAACCAAACCAAAGACACGAAACTCTGATCCGATCTAAACGAACCCTCTCCCACCTCCCTCTCTCCCCTCACCACCTTCTCCGGCGTTTACCTCATCCCCACTCTCTGGTTGCTCTTTTCTCTCCTCTGGCTCCTTTCTTCCCCGCTCAGCAGTTTCTCAGGGCGCGAGCGTAGACTTGGCAGTCGTAACGAGACTGATGGATGACTCTGAAAGTGGCATGGGGAGGGGGGCGGAGACGGAGAAGACAGGAGACAAGGCCACTGAGCTCCGTGCAATCACTTTATGGACATGTGCTGTGCCAAATCCACACTACCGTCCGCTCGCCCACAAAAGCTCCTTTACATACCGTGTGTGTGTGAAAGTGTGTGTGTAGGGGTCAACTTAATAGAATAGTTGCTTATTTCTGCAAGGCAAACTTTCCTGAGAATAGACAATGATGTTAACAATTTGTATTACTGGTATGATGATCTGAAAACGTATGTCATTGGCCGATGAATGACTTAATCTAATGCTAAGATGAATGCCAGTCAGTCTGTTGTTCCAGCTTCTCAAACTTGAATATTTGACGCTCTTTTGATGTTAATAATTTAATAATGAGGTTTTAGACTTTTGAATGAGCAATTTTACAATGTCACCTTGAGTTCTTGGCAATTTTTCATACTCAGAAACAATCAAAAATGGAGTAATCAGTAGCTGCAGCTCTAACTTTTCTGTGTGCAAATGAGATTTACCAGAGATCCATAACACTACATGTCCGGCTTGTGTTTTTAGGAATCAGAGCATGGATTGTGCGACGGTAACTTTTAACTCCACTCTTACATATAGGGTCTAAGCATACTGAAGAGAAGGGGATTTTTTCCTTCTTAACGTATGGTCCCGTTCCCTCCCTACTTTGTCATTGTTGAGCTTCGGCCAAGAACATTCTGTTTTTGCAGGGCTGTTTAATAGTCAAATTTAGGAGAGGGGGAACGAGAGCGAGAGACACGGAGAGAGAACAAGAATAAATCTTTCAACTTTTTTCTCCTCCATCTACCCCCCCCCCCTCCTCTTCTTTCCTTCTCTCTGTAACGCTGCTCATGAGGGCTGCGGCAGGAAAAAGGGGGTGTTTGTTGCACGGCGAGGGTATCTGAGTTCACTTTCTCCAGCTTCTTGTCTGGGCTCTCGTATTTAAGGCGTAGATGATAATCTCCCTGCTGCTTCTCATTGGCGTGTGGGGGCTTCGGCCGTCATTACGGGGGTCCACGCAGACGCTGGAGATCACTGTTTGGCACGGCAGCATTTTGGTGTGTGATTGTGAGGCCTTGATATGTTGAGGTTATTCTTTCCAATATACAACAGTAAGTTGATGTCTCCCAACGCTTGCTGTTGTTTGATGGGGGAGGAACTGCTGAGGAAAAGACGTCAGTCCGGGCCGACTCATACCAAAGCCGGTGGAAAGAATTCCACTCATGTTTCCTTGTGTTCCCCCGCCCCTCCTGTCCTCTCTCCACGTTCTGTTCTGTGCTCGTACCTTGCACAGCGGGACCGAACACATTCTGCCCCCCCTTCCAACACTCTCTCGGCCCCTTTGAAAAATTACCCAGAGGTCTGCCGGTAAAAACTTTTTAGCTATCGAGTGTCAGACAGAGAGCTTTTTTCCCATTAATGATAATGCTGTTCAAACAAAACTGTCTTGTTTAATGCACAGTGGGTATGCTCGCCTGGTAGATAAGGAAAAACATTAAGACACCCAGGAAGCCCTGAAATGCACTTTGTCTTGTTGGAAAAAAGTGATTTCTTCTTTTTAAACAACCCCAGGGAGGATTAGTAGGCCAAAGGTGTTTGACAAACTGTAAAAAAGAGAGATCAAATACATTTCTAAAATACTTCAACCAGGTTATCTTGGGAAAAAAAATCAATGCTGACAAGAGAACCGTGTTTCAGTAAGATGGCATGTTATTGTCCTCTTGCTTTACTAAGCCCCCCCCCTCATCTCTCTGTGTGTTTGCAGACTCGCAGCAGTCAGGAAGTCCCAGTAACAATGAGCAAGGCAAGAACCCTCTTCCAGGTATGTACAGTACCAGCCCTCCTCCCTCCTGTCATCGCTCTATTGTTCCCGGCAGCTCGCCCTATGCACACCATAACTTACCTTCTTTAAATAAAGCAGCAAAGCCCTCACTTAACAAAAACAGTCAAGACAAACTACTGTACTGCCTTAGGTGCTTTCCATACCATGTGATCCAACAACAACCATAGACAAACGGCAATTTGTAAAAGCACAAAACCAGCTCATTCTGATTAAGTCAATTCATCTGCAAAAAATGTACCATTTAGAAAATTGACACACTTGTTGTAAATAATCAGATATAAGTGATTTTTTGACTTCTGTGTGACATCCGCTGGCTAAGGACGTAGCTTAACTTCAAATGGAGCGAGGAGAAATAACACGGATGATTACATTTTGAAGCGTCATCATCCTGGAGGCCAAGAAACTAAAGAGTGAAAAGTTTACAGCACATTGCACCTTTGGCTGGTAGCTGAGTGTGTCATGTTGAAGCAGCTGCCAAGAATACTCTCTCACAGCGCCGCTGTTGTTCCCGGACTGACCTGCGCTCTGTCGTCACAATATTGGAATGAAAAGAGTTTGAGAAGTATTGTAATTAGTTGTCTACCTCAAGAGCAGGTTCTGCCGATACAGGTGCCAAGGAAAACATGTTAGCGAGCCAATGACTCAGGGCTTGGAGGCCCCTCAGCAGCGGCACAGCTCTGGAGGCATGAGGCTTTGTAGGTGCCAATGGAGCCGCCCGCCTATCTCTCTGGCACGGCCACACCGACTTTGGCACCGCTTCAAAGCAGAGCCGGAGTCATTTGGGTGTCAATAACTTGTCTGACTGTTTGACTTGACTTGCAGCCTCTGATGAGTGTCACTGGTCATACAAGAGATACTTCAAGAAAATATACATTTTCATTCTTTGGGCTGTGTGAGGAAAAGAAAATCTTTAATTTGTTTCCAAAGCGCCTTCCAAAGCTTACATTGGATTACATTACTGAGTAACTAAGCTTTAATGTAAACACTGCAGCAAACGGCTCTTTAAGGTGGATATTTGTTGATGGGGTAGTGTATCTAAGTCCACTGACGGTTATTAAGTTTTGCTTGTGTATTTGATTAAATACGCGGCGCCTGCCTCCCTCACTGGTTTCCTCTCAGCAGCAGTGTCAACACCTCCCCCCCTCACACACACCTGTCCTGTCACTCTGTACTGTACTGCTGCACACCACACTGTCACTTTAAACACTTTAACTGAAAAAAAGGCACAGTAACTACATTTTTTGTTCTGTAAAACACATTCAAGTCCACAAAACTCATGGTAATAATAATAAAGAAGACGATAAAGAAAAGCATGAAACTACTGATGAAGTGATTTTATTTTTTACTATCAGTATGACTGAGTCCCTGAGTGTCATGATCTATAACTGTGTATTTGTCTGTGACGAATTGATGACTTCATACAGCTCTTGCTTTAAAATGTTAAATATATTTATATAAATATAGGATTTTGTTTATTGGTTTCAGTCTCAATGTTGTCTGTTTCCATGTTTGACTACTTAAGGTTATGCTTAAGGGAAAAGTGTGGTTAAATAACTATTTTGCTTACTTCAGTGTTTCAAAAAAAGAGGGTTTATAGATATATTGATCATTGTGTTGAGTTCACATTCAAAGAAATATGTGGCATGGAGGATGAATCATCAACTCTTCATTGTGTGTATATTTGAGTATAATAATAATAATGATTGCATGAATTGTGTTTCAACAGTCTACTTGGAGGACAGCTTCATCAAATCAGGAGTCTTCAGTGTTGCAGAGCTGGTGCGAGTGTCCAGAAGTAAGTACACAGTTATTATTTGTTGTTTATAAGTGTTTACCCTGAGCACACAGGTATTTTCAGGTATTCTGTTCCTTGCCACTGATTCCCTTTCGGCTCACATTGAAGCTGGGCGGCGCTACGAGCGAATCGCGCGAGGAGAACAAAGTCTATGCACTGACAAGAATGCAGAGGGTGTTAGTTTCCCTGCCCTAACAGGTGCAAGCCAGATCATATGAGTCAGGGAAATGTCAATCAAACGCAGTCTGTACACGCCCACAGGGGTCTAATCAGGTCACACAGAAACGTTTAATCTTTTCTTTCAATTAAATCCAGACTGTAAGTGTTTTTATTTGTACAGAATATGTAGCTAACAGCTTTTCTACAAACCTGTGTATATTTACTGAACTGCTGTACTGTAACACTGCACTGGTGGATCCAGTTTGTCCAGTCTGTTGACTGCGCAGCCGTGTGTGTGAGCCTCTGTGCATCTGTACAGACACGTCCACAGCCGTTGACGGTTGTTCTCGCAGCAGTTCTCTCCTCTCCATTGGCCCCCGAGGTGGCGTTTTTCCTTTGCTTCAGCTCAGGAACATGCCTGCGGTGCACAAAGTCTCTAGTCACCCCCAATAACCTGTGTTTAAGAGAAGCATACCTGTCTGTGTGTTAAAGTCTATTCCAGTCCCATAGTGTGAGTCCTGTTTAGTGCAGAAACTCTGAAGTGCAGCTCAACTAAATGCCAGTCTACACCACAGACTACATTAGATTTACCTGACCCAAGTTAGGTTTGTGCCAATCTTATTGCTGCTTTTTTTAAATACAGTTATTTTAAAGGTAATATTCTGTAGTGTCCAGACTTTGGTATGTGCTGTGCTGCCATTAACAGCATTATAACCAATGAAGTTGTTGACAGAATAAGATTCAAACTAACAAAATATTACAATAAGAGGGTGATAAAAAAAAAAAATCATATGCATAATGCTTTGTTCTAAAATCAATATCCTGCTGTTCTGCTGGTTTCAATAATGACTGAGTGACTGGCTTATTCATATTTGTTTTGCTGTTTGCTATTTTCACACAATCTCTATTTAATATTCATGACAATGGCAATTCTTACTATTTTGAACACAAAATTATTAGTCGAAAAAAGACATGATGAAAATACTTGATAGTTTTGGCCAAAATCGTCCAAATCCTCAACTCTCCTGTGCTCAATTACCCTCAAACATCCAAAAATAAATATTCCCTGTGCCCGGGTTTTTTTACATGGGAAATCCTCATTGCAGTCAATTGGCGTTTCACATGTTTATGGCTGCAGAACAGCACTCGGTATCTAAAGCTGACCTTGTTTTGTGTCTACCTGCCGTATCAAAGTGTCTCCGCTGCTGCAGCTAGACCAGGTCGTCCTACCGCTCTCATACATCATGCTCTGAAAGGCGGAACCTGCTCCTTTTCCATGCTCAGAGACTGAATACCCTTTAAAGCCCGTGTTTTTGTTTAGTGTTTAATTCGCCCCCTGACCAGATGGCCGCCGCGCTGCCGTGCCTGCTCTCATGTGACCGAGCCCCCGTTTTTCACTGAAGCCGACTGAAGTGGAGATGGAATTTTAAAAAGGTCGACGGACACAGAGGAATTGTCACTCACTCAGCCGGTCACTCCCTGGGAAGACATCTAAGCAGCCGCTCGTCCGTCAGCGCGCTCCTCTCCGGACTCTCCGAGACGTTCTTTGAAGTCCATCAAAGGAACTCCGCGGTTCAAGGCTGCCTCGCAATCCAGCATTTCGGCGAGGACACTCATTAATGCAACAGGAGCCTCCACTGCGAGATATTTAGTCAGTGTGGACAAGCGCAGGCAAATGAATCTGTTGATGTGAATGTGTGGAGACAGTAGTGATGAAGCATTGTGTGGCAGGTTATTTGCACCATCATTTGCTGCTAGAAAGTCATAGCAGGGCAGCCAAGTGGCAAAAGCCGAGCCAAGAAGTGAGAAGGCTGCACACACAGAGATGTTTGGGGGTATCCTCTCCTCGAGTGAAAAAAACAATGGTGGTGTGTTCAGCGCTGGCCGGATGCATTCTTCCACAGACAGCTCAGTGTGGTGGTAGCGGGTGGGGGCCTCTGCCAGGGCCGCAGTCGGCTGCCAGGGCGGAGGCTGGCGGAGGGATCGTGCCAGTGGTGAACCTCAGACCACAACAGACGGCGCCACACACTCCATCCTCTCATCGACTCCAAACCAAGCGAGCGCTGGAGCTGCAGGCCACACAGACACACAGGGAGAGGGGATGGTGCTGAACTCCTTTTGTTCTGTAAACACGGGCCCGGCCTCCCTTGAAACAATATCCCTCACCTTGACCGCAGTGAGAAAAACAACACTTTCACCACTGTAAATCACTCTGCGGGGGAAACCTCTGAGTTTTAGATCGGAGAGAATACAAGACAAGGAGCTGTTGATGATTTGGTTTTCACACCAAGCTCATGCAACCTTTGATTTAAACCGCATCTAATGATCATTTCATTATTTTCTAGATTAATCGGTTAGTTGTTTGATCTTTAGAATGTCAGAAAATGATGGTGGTGAAAAATGTCAATCAGTGTTTCCCAAAACCCAAGATGCAGCCTTAAATGTCTTGTTTTGTTCACAAACATATTCAGTTTACTGTCAGAGGTGTAAAGAAAGCGAACAATCTTTTTACTTTTTTAATGTATCTGTTAAACAGGCGATTAATCTAATAGCTTACAACTAATCAATGTAATGTAACATATATCACGTGTTTATGTTTTATTTTATTTTAAATAGCCAAATTCTAAGAAATGTATAAACATATTAGTACTTAACACAATATTTAAAATCGTGCTTTTGCTTGAGTCTTTGTGGAGACACTCAGATCTGTCAACCAAACCATTGATCGGTCTGAAAACTCTTAGAAGAGATGGTTGAATAAGATGCTATCAAGCCAAGGACAGCTGCAGTGACAGAAAACTTTGGATAGAAGATGTCCCTTCTGCTCGGGGACGCGGTGACTTGTGAATCGGAGAGCTCAGCAGAAACGCTCGTGATGGTCAGACAGTTAAATGTAAAATCGGGAGAGCTTAATTTGATACATAGCCTCTAAACACAGAGCGTCAATAACAGTCAGTCAAGCCGTTGTGCAATTAATTGTGCAATTAATTGTGCGTCTCTAGATGCAAAGTAAAGACAACAGTGCTGACACAGAAGTCCTCCTCCGCAGTGATTACATACTAACTGTCCCTCTTTGTCCTCTGCAGTGCCCATCATCCACGGCGCTGCGGTGAACTTCTCCATGACCGACATGCCCAGCCAGCCCTACTACCACGACCTGAACTCCAGCGTGGGGCTGCACCGCTCCCTGTCCTCCCCGCCCGGCAGGTCAGTCACAGCAGCAAAGCTTTTTAAAAGTTAGGAGGAACATCTCCCATAATAACTCATAGCAGTGTTTATTACAGCTACAGTGGGAAAAGACCAGTTTCCAATTTATTTTTTATCTTTTATTCTGTCTTATTCATTATAAACAAGCAATAAAGTATTCTATTAGGCAGCTTTGGCTCAGGGGTAACATGATTGTCCTCTTATCTGATGGTCTGTAGTTCGATTCCCAGTCCCTGCAGTCAAATGCCAGAAAAATGTAAAAGTTATCTTCAAATGTCTCCTTATAGTGTGCTACCCTGAACAGATGGTACCTTTTTATATTGTAGCCTCGGACTATTAATGAATGTGTGTGATTGGGTTAATGCTGATTTGTATTATTTAAAAGTGCTTTAATGTCACAAAGACTGGTGGTGCTTTATAAATGCATGTTTAATTACCATTGTATTCTACAACCAACACAGCATTGGACACACTAAACATATAAACTCATCAGTCAGTGACAGCGTTGTTGCAAATCACAAGTACTGAATTATTCCATCATTTTCCAGAACAAATATAAGAAAAACGTTCAAACTATGACAAAGCTAACATTTAGTCAACACAAAGCTCGTCATTACTGATAATCCATCCTAAAGCTGGGCTGAAAATCCCCCAATCTGGTCACATTTATTTTTAGCGTGTGTTGTCAACAAATCAGGGACCACCTGTAAAAACCTGAACACATCTTGGGCTTCACAGTTTCACTTATTTTCAGAATCAGAAATCCTTTATTGCTTTACATAATTACAACAGCTGAAAAATAATGCAGATTAAGTTAAGAGAATAGACTTACATATTTAAAAAACAACAAAGTAGGCAGACATTATTAATAATAAAAAACACAGTAAGTAAAAAAGAAATAGCACATAATTACACCATGATTAAAAAAACTAAGTAGCAGTATATTTATACTGTACAAAGTTTTATATTTACACACATAGATGAGTATGCCCACACAAAGACAGTAAGCAGCACTTTTCATCAGTCATGGTTTGTTTCTGTTATAATGTATGATTTGTATTAGACGCCATCTTGCAATCTTGAAACAATGAAGTCAATGCTGAAATATCAACTCCTCCTTGTCTCACAGCAAAAGGCCCAAAACGGTGAACATGGATGAGAACATGGACACGAGCCCGACGGGACCCGACTTCTACTCATCACCCAGCTCTCCAGCCAGCAGTCGGGCCAACTGGCACGACAGAGACGGAGGTGAACTTTAATTTTTTTTTACGTTTAAGCTCATTTATTTACTTAAGGGAGTTTCGACAGGCTGCATCCCATTCATACAGTAACACAAACATTCAGAGCCCTTTCGCACAGCAGCATGTTGACAGATATTAATGAGGGATAGGAACGCATTATCTGCTTCACCATCAACACATGCAAATAGATTTGATCAAAGAGAACACCTCGTCTTTTAACGGCCGCTGAACTGTCTTTAGCTCTTGGCCTTATCATGAGCTACTGTACATCAATGCCGCCACCCCTTCCTCTGCGGATGAACTGCATCTGGTTTATCTGCACATGAACCCGCTCAACTCTCTTAAAATACATGCCATGACAGAGATAGCCCCAGGCTTCAGCACTCGTATAAATGTTTAAACCCATTTGAACCGCTGTCTGAATGTAAATCTGTATTCTCTCGCAGCTGTCGCTCACACAAAGGAAACATTGGATCCCACAACACACGGTCCGTCCCGAGAACAGACTGTTCCAGCTGAAATACAACATGTGTCTGAAGAGTAACCCCTGGTTATTTTAAAACTGATCAACTTTACAGAAAAAGTTTGACTTTCATACAGTGGCGGAATACAGAGGAATCATGAAGTATAAGTACTCAAGTACATATTGCCATTTAACTTTTTTCTCCACTTATTTGAAAGCTTTAGTTTCTTTTAACTTTCAGATTTATAGCTAATAAAGTATATTAATAAACATTAACATGTAATTATAGGTTAAAATACCAACCTGCTGTATATCATGTTATTAAAATGAGCTTGAACTCTCCCAGCTGTTACAGACAATGCATTAATAATCATAACCCAGTCATTTAATATACATCATTCTCAAATGGACTACCAAGCACAAAAAGTACTTTAACTTTTTGCACTTCAACTATATTTTGCGGCCATTACTTTTGTACTTTAATATTGCTATTGTTGCCTAAGTAAAAACAGATTTCTTTATACAAATCCCTTGAACACCATGTGCTTTTTTAGAGAAATCCCTATTTATAAGCCTGATGCAGAGCTCTTCAGGGCGAACGTGTCAGGTGACGTCTCATCAGGAAGTCATGATACACATCTTGGCTGAACTTGAGAGAAATTCCCCATCAGGGAAGTTTTGACGCCAACTGTGAAGACTAGTGAGAAGGGAATAAGAAATAAAGCTCATCTAATGAGCTCACACACGGGGCTTACTAGATTTGAGAAAAGGTAGAGATGCAGAGAAAACAAGCCGTCCTGCATGTGAGAGAGAGACCCTCGCGGGACGGCTCGCATGTCTCATTACGTCGTCTCCCGGTGCAGAGCAGAGCCCATCACCCTTTTAATTAAGGCCTCACTGTCCCGTGTTTCCGGATCATTCCCACTCTCTGCTGACCTCTCTCCACACTCTGCTAACCACACTCAATTTCACCAATGTAAGAATTAAAATATTCTACCACATTTATCTTACAATCCATTTAAATTGTAATGTAATAAGTAGGAAGGCTGAGAGGAAAACACCAGCTGATTCACATATCGCTGCGTTGGAACCGCAGCCCATTGTGGGCACATAAAAATGCAGCACAAGGCCTGTGTGTATCGCTCTGTGTAAACTTAGACGCTCTGGGGCGAGGAGAAAGGGAAAGCAGTGGGTAGGAAACTCTCCAAAGACAGCCATTATTCTGTCAAGAGAGAATAAATGAGAAGTGGGGCGATATTAAACCCATATGAGGCCTCCTCCAAGCGCCAAGTGATCACTTCTCTCACATGGTGATCGTTCGGGAGGAAGGAGTAGTTTCTCTCGTGGATTTCTAGGTACACATTTAAAATGAAATAAATCATTGAAAGTTGAAACGCTTTTTATTTAAAGTGTTTAATTTCTGGTTATTAATCGACCGGTTTAATTTCCTGAGGCAGAGCAGTCCTTGAAGGATTTAATTAGCACAACAGAGAGAAAATAGCTGAACACCTCCACCGCAGAAAATAGTTCCTTTTTATACACGGAAACATTGAGCAGTGATATCAATCTTCGGGAGGTATTTCTCCCTCTGACACAAAAATGAAAGCACTTAAGCTTGTATCCTCTTCCAACCTCAGAGTGGGAAATCCCCCAGAATTCCTGCCACCTTTCTCTGGAGATGAGAGACTCTTCCCGTCACTCGGGTGGTTCCTTCCCTGTTTTCGGGAGGAGAGAGCGGTTAACAATGCCTCAGAAATAGGGTTTATTTGACTTCTTTCGGGGAGGAAAAAGATGGATGATTTGAAAGTTATACACCCCAGGAATCTGTGACAGAGCAGAAAAGCTCTTGATGAATGTTCCTAAAAGAAGCAGCGTCTATTTGTTATCACGTTCTCCTCAGACGCCGAGTCTCACCACGGAAAATTGAAAACCGCACATCTGTGACAGCAGCGTATTGCTCATGAAAGTGAGGAGCAGCAGCAATAAGCAACATTTAAAGAGTTTGTGTGCATTCTTTCAGTCTGTAGAGCTAAACCAATATTACATATCATGTATTTGGGATTGTTCACGGGGAATCGCAGTAGCTTGTCAGAAACCGTGTAAGGCCGAGGCGAGCAGATGTTTCAGTGTAATGTTCTGTACAGGATTGCGAAATTTACTAAATCTTATTTGAGCGACCGGCTGCATTACTGAGCACCAGATCTCTGGATTTAATTCTAAGGATTTCCGAGATAATGACAGATTTTGACTGTTTGTGGAGTTTTTCATTTTCAAAATATACCATTGGTTACACTAATTCCTTGTCATTTCTGCTTGATATTAACCTGAATTCACTTTTTGACACGTAACTCCAGGGACATTTTTGATTAATTCCCAGCAACACACAAAATATGTTTCTCTTAGTGCACCAGTAAAGTCATTCTATTTATTTTTTAATGTGAGACACAACACAGAAGTTTCTCTCATCTTGTCCTTCGCGAATTGCTCCAGAAAGGATCAAACACCTTGAATTTGAATAATAAATAAGCCAGATTTTGCGACCTTGAGTGTGCATTCATGTGTTTGTGCGCGTCCTCGTGTGTGTTTCCCACCAGCAGACATGTCCTCTCCCACCATGAAGAAGCCAGAGAAGCCGCTGTTCAGCCCCACCTCCCCGCAGGACTCCTCGCCACGACTCAGCACTTTCCCTCAGCCTCATCACCCCGGCCTCACAGGTGTAGGACACAGTGGTGAGTTCCTGCTGACTCCTGAAAACCTGAACTTTAATTCAATATATTGTGTCAACACATTTCACACAACTGTATTAGGTTGGTTGAAAGCAATAATATTAAGTTGAACCGACTATTTAGTACGAATCTTACTGTTTTCATCTAACCTAATACACTTATGTGAAATCTGTTGACATAATATATTTAATTAAATTCAGTTTTCAGTGATTTCTTTCCTCCAGCGCTGCGGGTATAATCTATGTTCATTGACCTTCTCAGATCAATGCTTTGTCTTAGCTCCATCTCACACACTGGATCTCCCTCTCTTGCAGTTATATCGACGAGGAGCCCCCCCCCACACTCGCCCCTGCAGTTCTCGGCCTCGGCGATCCTGCCCCCGGCGCCATCGCCCTACTTCTCGCACACCACCATCCGCTACCCGCCCCACCTCAACCCCTCCGATCCCCTGAAGAGCTACGTGCCGTCATACGACCCGTCCAGCCCGCAGAGCAACCAGGTCAGCCCTTTTTTCTTTTTATTCCTTGTTGTTGTTGTTGTGAGTGTGAAGCCAGTGTGTAGTCCAGAAGTCTTTGGCAAGCGTTTCCTGGCCTCGAGTCGTCCTTTGTTATCTCGTTGGGCTCGGTTCCCATCTGAACTGAGAGAAATTACAGCATGCATGTGTCATTATTTCATTACTGCCTCATTGCACTGTTTGCAAGTACAGACACATCATCCTGTTTTCTGAAACATGCTCCTGGTCATTCATTATGTCATTAAAATGAGGTGTTTCAACAACAAAAAAACAGCTTTGTTTCGGGGCAGAAAACCTAAAAAATTATGATTATAAACCCCAAATGAGACATTTTAATCCCTTAAGCTGACCTAAATTTGATAATATTTGTCCATTTATTGAGCACTTGGCTGCATGTGGGGAAATAATATTGGTCAGTAACCTATAATTACAATAGCCATCATAACTAATTAGAATAATTCAATCATAGTTAAATTAAACCACTTTCCATTTAGCAGGCAACCCCAAAGTGACCTTTGCGGAGCACTTCATGTGACAGAGAAGCATTTATATATATTCTGCTTGATATAACGCTCAGGAAAAAGGTTACAGTACACTTGATGTCTCCATAAAAAAAGTCAACCAAACTATTGCATTCTCACGTGACGCACAAAAGTGTATCTGGACATTATAGTAAATCAAATAGCTTAGGGCCCTTTATGAATTCTCTCACAAACACTGGTCGCAGTGTGGAGAGAGAGAGCAGGCGTCTCTGTAGATGAGAGAGCCGTGTGATATTTATGTGAGTTTTATATCCCCGCTGTTCTCACTGTAAACAAAGGCCTCTTAGACGGCTCCATCTCCAGAGCAGGGAGCGGGTTACAGGCTGGGGGGGTGTGGGGAGCGGAAGCGGAGGTGGGGGCTGTTACTCGAGAGAAAAAACCGCGGGGAATGATAAAGGTTGTAAATATTTGCCGTTGCCGGGGCCCGGCTCTTGTGCAGAATTAACTGGCCCTCTGCTGGGGTGCTGGAGGGGAGGGGGGGATAGTGAGGTTGGTTTCAGTAGGGAAGACCAGTTGGGGTGGGAGGGAGGGAGGGGGGGAGGCTCAGCAAATAACACAGCGCTTATAATCCCATGGACGAGTGCCAGGATGTTTTTATGCTTGCTTTAACGCAGATTATATTACACTCTAATTAAACATTCTATTCACATCCAAGGGAACCCTGTGGACACAATTCTCCTGCAGAAAGGCCTGTTTGAGTTTTGAACCCGGGGCGGCCCTGAAATGAACGCCCCAGACAGTCTCCAGCCGCCTGAAAGAGTAGCTCCCACTAGCTTCCTTTCTTCCCTTTTCTCTCCATATATATACTTGCACATTCACGCCATTGTAGCTCTGAAGCGCGCGCTCTCTTTTCATGCCCGACACCTCCTAAATTCCATTTATGAGCGCCATTAAAATCATTGTTTGAAATCATGTAGGAAATCCATCGTCAGTGACTGAGGATCTATTGTTGCTCACGCCCCCCGAAGTTTTTGTAATAACTGTGACAACGCAACGACTAGATGTAAAACATATTTTCTTCAGACGGAGCGCTAAGTGTAAAAGCGGTGCACGCACCTTTTGTTGTTGATTTGAGAGCAGACACAACAGTCAGGAGGAGTCAAACCCCCCCTCTATGAAAAAGGACAAGTTTGTTTAGTGCTAACCGTTTTGGAAAAGTGCAGTTTGTTGCATTCTTTTTTTTTTGAATTGAGATCTGCCCAACTGCACATTTACAAGCCAACACGAGCTTGTAAACATGAGTCACAGTCAGTTTGCCTGTCTTCACATGGGGTTTTAGTGGCGGAAAAAACAAATGCACTTTTTTTTGTTTTTGCTTAAAATGTATGTTTCCTGTTAAAACGATTTCAGTTTCTGGCTGATATTAATATTTGCCGATATATTTATACCAAACAAAAGCAAAAGCAGATAACCTCCAGATGTGGATCGAACCCTTCCACACATGTTTGGCATTAACCTCTCTTAAGTCTGAAAGAAAAAATCTGGGTTTTTGCTGAAATGTGTTTTGTTTTCTCCCCCCCCCTGCCTGCAGCCTAACAGCAGCGGTCAGGTGGGGAAAGTCCCGGGACACTTCACGCCGGTCCTGGCCCCCTCCCCGCACCACGGTGCAGTCAGACCCGTCTCCCTCTCCATGTCGGACACTAAGCCCATCACCACGTCAACAGAAGGTGACTACCGACAATACATGTGTGCACAGGGTTCATACAAGTCATGACAATTAGGAAAATGTTTGATTTTATAATTGTTCTCATGGTTAGGATCATGGTTGAATTCCAATACAGTCCTTAAATATGCATAATCTGCTGTTCCATCTACTACATATAATGTTTTGAATGGAATCATCTTTTTGGGGTCCCACAACAAAAAAACATTAAAATCAAAGTAAATATGAACAACTGGTCAAATAAATAATAAATACATTTTTGCAATTAATAGTAACAATTGAAATGTTGTACCCTAAAAGTGCCAACATTATACAAAGGTAGGTGACTAGAGATCAACATTTTTTAAGATGTGTTTTGTTGGTCTTTTATTATAGGTGATATTCTGAAGTGAAAACGTCCACAGTGTAAAATACATCTGCAAAACATCTATGAAAACACATTTAAATAATAGCTAAATAATACTTGTGAGAGATCATCCCTCACTTGTTGACCGAATATCTAAGTGACTAAATGTCCCAAACTTAAACCCTGTGCACCCCCACCTGCACTGTGCACCCCCACCTGCACTGTGTACCCTTGTGTGTTTATAGTGTTGACAGATGACTGGCGCTAAGTCACTGTGGATGAATTCCTGAAACGCTAATTGTAATGCAAGCGTGTATTTGTGTTTTTTGTGATGGCATGTTACCCAGGCTACTCAGCCCCTGGCACCCCGACGGCTAACCGGTTCGTCGGCCTGAGCCCCAGAGACCCCGCCTTCCTCCACCAGCAACAGGTGAGAACCCCCTCCCTCCAGCACTCACCTGCTCCTCTTATCCCCTCATTATCTGTCCCCGTCTCCCCCCACATCAGACGTGTTGCCCCCTGCAAAAGCCTGTCGCACTCTGAATGGGATTTTTTGGAAGCATTCGACTATCTCGTTAGATAGGCTGAGGTTAAGCAGAGAATTCAACACTAGGATCAAAACGTTTTTCAGAAAAGCATTTATAGCGTTAGGTCATCAAACAAAAGCATGTTGTAGCAGCAATCAAACTTTCTATGACATGCTATAGAGCATTATAAAAGTACCAAACATCTGCTTAAAACTCCATCATTTGAGATGAACACACTCATAAATACCCATAATGTCTTAGAACAATAATTATAATACATTCATATGAGGCATTTTATCTAGTAATTCATAACTGCTGCTCTCTAAATTGCTTTCTTTTGGCTTTAAAACATTATACTGTTTTTATAATACAATTAAGATAATTGTATTGTATTTAGAAGTGCTTAAAACCGTAATTATACACTGCTGTAAACAGATTAAAACAAATTAATTGTATGTTTTTAATGCTTTAAAGACATGGGTGTCATAGAAAGTAAAAGTAAAATATATAAAAACATAATTGTATTGCTAGATATATCTAAGTATTAATAACATTTTCTAATGCAGTTTTATTTCGAAGAAGCCTTAAATGACCCACAATTCAATAACCTAAGTGTATCTGTTAGCTGGATAGGAGTAGTTCATATCGCAATTTGTATTGAAAAATGCACTCTGTAAGCAGTTCACATCATGTCAGAGATCCACACATCTAAAGACAACAACACTTTCTCGTAAATGTTTATTACAAAGTGTGTGTTAGAGTTGAAATCCTGCATTGAAGGATTAAAAAAAAGGAATCTATTTCCTTCATTTGTTTAAAGAAAGTCAGGAAATCGACTGTCATTGTGCAGCTGCAGATGGATGGGACATGTGGGTGTCTTTGGGAGAGCAATGTGCTCAGCTCTATTTCCTTCACACTTAAGAAACACACACACATACCACATGTAATCAGCACAGTCATCTACGGTACACAGCTGAATATTTAGTGTTGGCGTCTCGTGGTTGCCCCAGCAGGGGCCTTAGGGCAGATGTGGTCACCCTGTGTGTGTGTGTGTGTGTGTGTGTGTGTGTGTGTGTGTGTGTGTGTGTGTGTGTGTGTGTGTGTGTGTGTGTGTGTGTGAGAGTGTGTGTCGNATTGATTAATTAATTTCAATAAAAATTCAAGTTAGTAGCTATTAAAGGCATAAAAAGACAGCAATGTATAATTCTTTCTTTAATAGAAATGTTTCTTCTGCCCGCAGAAGAAACATTTCTATTAAAGAAAGAATTATACATTGCTGTCTTTTTATGCCTTTAATAGCTACTAACTTGAATTTTTATTGAAATTAATTAATCAATTATTTTTTATATGTTATTGTAATGTAGAGACAAGGCTTTTAGTGACATTCATGTATTGCGTTACAATTATATATATAAAAAAAAAAAAAAGTAAAAAAAAAAAGTCTAAATATGGTATTTGGCCTCAAATCATCTGAGGCCTGGCGCTCCCCCTGCGATCTTTGGCGCCCCCCAGGTTGGGAACCACTGCTCTAGTTTTACCTAGCTATGCAGATTTGTTTTATTTTTATACATGTTTTACTAAAATCAAGGTTAATGTGTGCTCATGGGTAGTGTGTTCACCCACAAATTCATTCATAAATGTTGATTAAAAAAGTTATTCATTTTTTTCCGTAATTCTTTTAATACACGATACACAATAAAGTGGGTTGAATCTGCTTTTACTGTACTAAGAAAGATAGCCCATAATAAATAGCTAAGGGCACAGAAGAAACCTCAGTAAAAAAAAAACATATAATGATTTTGAGTACTAGTAGTTCTTATAAAAGCCCATAAAGCCAGTAATTACATTGATACTTTGTAACCAGAATTAATTAATATATCATTAATACATTATGCCTTTTTAACTACCCTCTGGGCTAAACTCTGTCTCACTTCCTCTCTGTTTCTTTACTTCCCTCAGCTGCCAAGACGCTGCAGATCTTCAACATCGAGATGAAGAGTAAGGTGAAGGCTCACACCATGACGGAGGAGGTCATGTTCTGGAAGTGGATATCGGTAAACACCGTTGCATTGGTCACAGATACGGCCGTCTATCACTGGAGCATGGAGGGGGATTCCCAGCCCACCAAAGTATTCGATCGGCATGCCAGTCTGGCCGGATGTCAGATCATTAACTACAGAACTGACGAACAACAGAAATGGCTCCTGCTGATCGGGATTTCTGCACAGGTATGAATACACAGAGTGACATGTTTACTCACACAGTAGAAGTAGGGAGGCTATGGCGTAGTGGAATAGTACGTTGGTGTTCGGATCAGGGGAGCACAGGTTCAAACCCCACTGCAGTCAGCATGTCGTTGTGTCCCTGGGCAAGACACTTCACCCCAAATTGCTCCTGTGGGGATTGTCCACAGTATTGAGTATGTAAGTCGCTTTGGATAAAAGCGTCTAACAAGTAACATGTTATCATTTCCTTGTATAGCAAAACGTCGGGGGATTCCTCTTGAATTTTGTATGAGTGAGTTAATGACTGCTTTATGTGTGTGCCCACCAAAACATGCAATATACAATACATGTTGCATGTTGCATGTCTACCATATTACAAAGCAAACTTAATCACGGAATTTCTCTGTCCAAGGTAAGGATGTTGTGGTGGTAATGCATTGTGTAATATGAGTATAGGATGTCTCAAGAGAAAAAACTTAACCTCTCTATCTGTTTGCATATGTTTACCTTTTAAAACTTGGCTGCCATAGCATTAGATCAGCAATCAGCTTTTAACAAACTGTGGAGAGCAGCTCCTGTCGTTGCCAAATGCAAATGTGGCAGTCGGCGAGAGCCAAATAGGAAGTCAGGGATGGAATGCGATGCAATGTCAGGGCCAGATGAGTTGGAAATGTCTGCAGCTGTTCAATTCACAGCTTGTGTGCCAATCGCTATAGCTGCCGAAGCACTTAAGAGGAGAGTGGTGGGGTCCAAACAAGATTAGAGCAAGAAAACCATTCTTCATATGTTTGCTGCAGCTCTTCTTATCAAAATGTCTAAAAAAAATTGCTAAGGAGGTGATTTATTTATGCTGGGTTTGTAAAGATTGTGAGCCAAGGAATTATTGTTTCATTCTAATTCTGGGTTATTCCACTTCACTAATCTCATTACGTTCAAATAGACTGAATAATTAGTATTTTGCCTTGACATTTGTAAGGGTGTCTGTGTCGTGTTTGGCAGCCAATGCATATTAGCTTTCTTCTCGTGACTGAACAATGGCACTTAGAGTTCCACAGATGCATTGAGATAGAGAGGTCTTAAGTTCAATAGTGGTGGAGGGGTTGGTCATTGATGCTTTCTTCTCTCCCCCTGCCCCCACCCCTCCTCTTCCAGAGGAAAAGAGTACGGTACTCTGAGCTGGATTTTGAGGTAAGATCACAGACCTCAACCCACTGTCATCAGCCTGTATGCTTTCTTGTGCTTCTGCCAGGATTTGAGTAACGCATAGTGGAGCAAAAAGCACTGCTAAATCCCTTCCTTCACACCTGTGTCTCGCTTGCTTTTAGGACTATGGACTGTTCTAGATCTACCTTAGATATAGTATGCTGTTTCTCCAACAATGGCCTTCAATCTCTACTCTATTTAGAGGCTGTCAATTTATGAATCAAATAAAAGAGAAAATAATCATCCGAATGTACAATCAAATCAAACAATAGTCATTTTGGGGGTCCTGGTTAAAGAAACAGCTAAGTGGAGTGCTTTTTGTGTCTGAATGAATACAAGCTATTCAGTTATGGGTCAACACGTTTATGGCTGTAGTTGTTTGGCTGGTTTGACGGTCTTCTCTTGGAACAACATGGTTTGGCACTGTGTGAGTATGTTTGTGTTAGAAACACCTGGGTGTCCTGTGAATCTCCAGTCTATAGCCAGCATCACATTGCAACAAAATACTTTCCTTTTCACTGCCCTTTTTTGCGGGAATTCAGTTTCACATAGACTGTTGCAGAGACTGGACATTCACTTTCCACCATGGAGATATATCTGCATCTAGGTTAGAGGATATGTGTTGTCACAAGCTACTAACAGTGACTTTGGCTGACTGTTTTACTCATCCAGAAAATGTAATGGAGTCATTTCTGGCCGCTGCATGAATTTAGAAGAAGATTGCCTCTCTTTGACATCAACTCTATTCTCATCAATAGACTGTTGACTTGAGAAAGAGGTTGACGTAGAAGTACCACTAATATAGCAAAGTGTAAACTTCCATGATTTAATGGAAGGTAATCCCATTTTCATCCATGTTTTATTTTTTTTCAAATAGAGTTTTCCCATGACTTTAGAACGTAACAAATTTACTTTATATAAACTACAATATCTATATGGACAGTAAACGCTCCCCCTTTGGATCCTTTCGGGTTCTGCGTTTAGAAAAATAACTGACGACAAGTTGGGTCTGAAATTGCGTTCACTGTAACATGATCGTCAGGATACAATAGCAAGCATTCATTAGTTTTAAAGAGCCACATAAACTCTACCAATAAGTCTAACTTCAACCAAACAACCTTAATATTTCAGTATAACTGTAACTTGTTTCAGCTTGATAACATATAGTTACTAAATAATGAGTTATGAGTTGGCTAACATTACCTTGTGTTAGCTAATTATGCTAATGTTAGCAAACAAACGTTAACTTTAGCCGATGTTAGCATATCTAGATACCTTAGCCAATTCATCAGGTTATTTGCTGCTTAACATTCCGTAAACTCCCTTTTAATTTTACAGTAGTCAAATAGGGTTACAGGTTTTATTGGACGTAAATAAAAACCTTTGATAATGTGTCTCAGAAAAGGAAAAATAAACACATAAAAAGGAGCAAGGAACTAGTAGCACCTTCTTAGCTGAGCAGAGATGAGAGTGCCCAATCTGGAGTCATTGGAGCCAGTGCTAAGCGCGAGTCCTGGCTGGTAAGTGTGCGGGTGTGAGTGCTGGCACCTTGCCCCTGTGTCACTTTCAACCTTGCAAGCTGCTTTGACGATTAGCTACTGCCGAGCAGCTACAGCACTGCTCATTAGCACTGAGGGACAACAGCAGTGGCACTGACAAATGTAGTTTGCTGTCAGAGGTTTATAGATCTGGATTTATTTTCCTTCCAGACAGACATATTCAGAACTCAGGGATGGCAGTTTTGTCAAATATCATCTCAATAGGGCGAGAGTTAAATATCAGCCCTTCCTTTAGACATTTAATGAGATAGACAAAATCCTGATTTAACAGGACTGCCAGCTAGCAGAGCCCAGTCTTGCAATGGCATTTCTGTCAGTCATTTTCACAGAATTTGTACTTTAAAGACTCGTCTGCCGCACTCCCAGTTGCCAAATTCTTAAAGACTGGGGAAGTGGATGATGTATGAGCATGAGCCAACAATCGATCGATCTGTCGGCGTTCTTCTAACCCCCTTTTCACGGCTGGCGCCACTGCAGTCCCTCAGCATTTTACCCATTTTCCCTTCCCCTGCCTGCCCCTATATGGCCCCCCCTCTTCTTTTTGCTTTTTTTGTTCCTGTTTTTGGTTCATTTTTGCTGTCCCTTCCTCTCTTCCCTTCCAGAAAGTGATGCACACTCGCAAAAGACATTCTGAGCTGTACCATGAGCTCAACCACTCGTCCAAGTTCCACACCATAGACAGGTATAGCAGGGACCCAGCCATGTCCACATTCAAGGTAAGACCATTGCCCAAAGCGGGACGGACCCCGCTGTATCAATGCATATCCACCCCTTCCGCACTTTTTCACAACCCTAAAACCCAACCCCTTTAACACTAAATAAATTAAACAAATTATATCAAATTCTGACTTCCGCTCAGATTTAAATTGCAGTAGCATGCTTCACAGAAAGTAGTAGTCATAGCCTGTCCACCGTGAAGTACTTTTGAAAGTGGCTGTATTCATAGTATTTTCCAGCTTAAATGCTGCCTTAGAAAACATCTAATGTAAATAGTGTTTATTGTATATTTTCATTGCCATTTCATTAATTCACTGTACTTATTATCACACCCTTGGGGAATCGAGCAATAACTACCTCATCAATACAACTTTAAAGGCACAATTTATTGCAGCTTACTTACGGTAAATATATTTTTATACCTGCTGTAAATGGCCTGAACCTAATTTGTTCTCACTTGTGGTTATTAAATACCTGTCAAAACAGTTGATAACTTAAGCTGTTAGCTGAGGGATAATCAATCAAAGCTGTTTAATAAAAATCCAATTGTAGCAATTTAAGACCTGTGAAACTATTTCTCACTCTTTCCAAATCACCTCACAAAATTGCAATGCTGGTAAACACGATTGTGCCTTCACACACAAGTTTTTTGTCTGCCTGTGTCACATTGGTTTAATCTGTTTGTTTTTTGGATTCATTGTCTGTTTACTCTACGTTCAGGCTTGGAATTTCGTCATTTTTGGGGGCGAGGCCATTTGGCCTTTGGTGTCACACATTTTTTCAGGGCGCAAAGGCCACATGACAGGGCACAAAGGCCATTGAGGGAAACATTTGGATTTGGAGCTTATAAATAAATAACTGCCTCCTTAGTATTACCGTATATAAAATACTTTACTTTGAATAATTAGTGTTTGGTATGTTTTCCATCTACTACTTCTCCCATTCACAAAGTGTGTGTGTGTGTGTGTGTGTGTGTGTGTGTGTGTGTGTGTGTGTGTGTGTGTGTGTGTGTGTGTGTGTGTGTGTGGGTGTGTGTGTGTGTGTGTGTGTGTGTGTGTGTGTGTGTGTGGTGTGTGTGTGTGTGTGTGTGTGTGTGTGTGTGTGTGTGTGTGTGTGGTGTGTGTGTGTGGTGTGGTGTTGTGTGTGTGTCGCGTGCGTGCGTGCGTGCGTGCGCCACAACAAAACAAGC